CCATTCAAATGCATTAGTGGCCTTTAGTTTCTTCAAGGTGTGTTGCCAACCATCTTGTTGAAAAAAGACCCACTGGACACCACAACTTAAAATCAGGACATGGACAAGTTGTGAGGAGGGAGGTATTATTCAGGATTCTTACCAAAAGCACWTYARTGTGCTCCCTGYCTGGATTCACTGCTTTGTTGTTTGRTCTGATGAAGMTGCAATAAAACAGCTTTTGTAATTTTATTTTAATAACCATTTGTCTGAGATGAAGACATTAATATTGGCAAAAATTGCCTGTGCTTTAAAGCTAATCCTGCTGGTTTTAACCTTAACTATCTGTTCCACATGTCAGGAAACCTAATTTTTTTTAAGAGTTGCATGTGTTGAAGCTTGCTGTTGGAAAAGCTGAATGTGGCCTTAAATGTAGGTGTGAAAATAGGTGTGTGAGCACAGTAGTTTGTGCATTTTAACATATTAATAGATTTTTAACCTAGTTTTGAAGTGGGCGAGGGATAAAATCAGGCTTGCTAGAGATAAGTCTGGAGCTGGGGTTGTTTAGCCCTGAGTAAAGAGGTCACAGGGAGTATGTTATTGCTGTCTACAACTACCTGAAAGGAGGGTATAGCCAGTGGGAGTTGGTCTTTTCTCTCAATAATAAGTGATAGGACGAGAGGAAATGGTCTCAAGTTTCACCAGGAGAAGTTTAGACTGGATAGTTTTTCCAGTTGGAAAAATTTCTGCACTGGAAGTTTTATCAAGCATTAGAACAGGCTGGTCAGGGWGATGATTGACTCACCATCCCTGGAGGTATTTAAAAGATGTTCACAGACRTGGCACTTGAGACATGATTTAGTGGTGGTCTTGGCAGTGCTGGTTRATGGTTGGACTTAATCATAAGGGTCTTTTCARCTGAAATGATTCTRTGATTCTAAAAAATKGAACTRTTCTTSTAGGCAGACTAAAGTACATTATTATTTGTATTTAACACAGCACGTTAGCATGTGCTTGGTCACATATCTTCCAAAATACTACTTTTTTACCTTTCCAGCATGGAGAAGTTTTATTCAATGTGAAGCATGAGGAATTGGGATCTAAATTTCTGTAATTACGGCTCTGAGGTACTAAAGAAACATACCTTGTCATCATGATGTCCCAGAAAGTATAATATGAAGGAGTGATATATTTCAGAAGTAGAGCAATTGGAATCATYGCAAGTATGTCAGTGCTGAGGGCAGCCTGGAGAGGAAATAATTTATGAGGCAAGTTGCTGCTGCTAGTGGTTTGCAGCTACARTGAACTTGTTTTCAAACTGGGGAACAAATTTGGTTGAACACTTTCARATTGCACGTGGATTTCATGCTGTTTGTTGTGCTCTTTAAACAAGAGGTGTTGAATAACTGAGACTGGGTATATAGAAGCCAAATTTTCATTCTTTGACAGCATASTTGGGCAAATACACTAAAACAAGCTTGTAAAAATACTTTTTTTAATGTGATGTTGGTGCAGTCATCCACAAAGGAAGAACTTAATGGGTATTTCATTTGAATGAACTTGGCCAAAGTAAATTAACCTGGATTAAAATGGTAGTATTGTAGATAAGTTGTCCCTGTCCAGCAGTAATTTCATTAAACTTCTGTTGCAATTAGTTCTGAGCATTGAAAATGTTTGACTTCCTTCAAGAAGGCAGCTTATGTGGAATAAATCAGCACTTGTTAATGATTATTTTTCTGTTGAACAAGCTGAATTTGAAGGTTGGAGATAACTGTCACAAATTTACCAAAGCACTTCAGTAAAGGAAAAGTTAGTGGCTGAAATCAACTAGAGTTGCTTTTTCCCCTGCCCCAGGTATTTTCACAGGAGTTGTGCATGGGTAGATGACTGAAATACAACAGATTGTAGCTCTAGTTATTGTAAGAGAGATGACAGAATCAMAGAATATTYGGAGYTGGAAGKGRCMYACAAGGATCATCRAGTCCAGCTCCTGGCCCTGCACAGAACCATCCCTAAGAGCCACACCATRTGCCTGAGAGCATTKTCCAAACACTTCTTGAACTCTGCCAGGCTRGTGCTCTGACCACTGCCCTGGGGARCCCAGTATGGTGTCCAGCCACCCTCTGGGTGAAGAATCTTTTCYTGATATCCARCCTAAACSTCCCCTGGCACAACTTCAGGCCATTCCCTTGGGTTCTGTCACTCTTCACCAGAGAGMARAGATCAGTGCCTGCCCCTCCTCTCCCCTTCAYGAGGAAATTGTCAATTGCAMTGAGGKCTCTCCTCAGTCTCCTCCAGGCTGAACAGAYCRAGTGACCTCACGGWAATTTCTCCTACAGCTTCTCCTCAAGGCTCTTCACCATCCTTGTAGCCCTCTTTTGGACACTCTCTAATAGTTAATTGTATTTCTCATATTGTGGCACCCAAAGCTGCCCCCAGCACTCGAGGTGAGGCTGCCCCAGGTCAGAGCAGAGCAGGACAATCCCCTCCCTTGCCCAGCTGGTGATGCTGTGCCTGATGCCCCCCAGGACAGGGTTTTCTCTCCTGGCTGCCAGGGCACTGCTGGCTCATGTTCAACTTGCCGTTGACCAGAACCCACAGGTCCCTTTCCGTGGCACTGCTCCCCAGCCTCTCATTTCCAGTCTGCATTGCAGCTTCTGGAGGGAGGCCTAAGGTATTCCTCCTGCATGAGAGCAGTCTTGCCAACATAATGCACTGAGGAGTTTCCTTTCTGTAATTAGTTCTGTCATTAGCCTGCCTTCTACTCCTAGAACAGATGGGTGAATAAAATAGTATGAGGTGATTTAGTTTATTTTTATGTGCATTTAAGGAATCATACTCACACRTGTCTAAAAGAGTGCCTTTAAATTTTAAAAATGCATTGGCACAGTAAAAGAATAGGAACAGGCCCCGGGGAAGAGCTCAGACATCTGTTCTGCTTTTGTGGCTRTACCTGCACTGTGGAACACCTTAGCTCACTGCATCATTGCTTGGTTTCACTGCAGGAAAGCAGTGGCAACTTCTCTCCTGCGTCCTGTGTAACTCATGTTCTTCTTAAAGTATGTAAAGCATTAGAAAAGAGGCATGGTGAAGTAGTCATTTTATCAGGTTTTAGGACTATAATTCCTGCATTTTAAAGTCTGTGCAGGACTATTACATTGTCTGTTTTGGCACTGTGTTCTGGAGAGTTTGCAGAGTATACTTAGATTACTTTATGGTAGTTCTTACAATGCTAAACACTTACTGTAAATAAACTTTTAGAATATGTTGAGGTTTCTTCTGTGGGGGTTGGGAGTGGTGGGGGGAGGCAGCAGGGTTGCTGTTGGTCTCATTGTGCAGGAAAGTGGTAAAAGGAGAGCCTGTTTCTCTGTGCCCAGTTTGGGGAAGCTGGACAAAGGGGCTGGGCTCAGTGTGGCTGCTGTCATGTATTAGGGACTAATGTAAAGCATGGCTTGAAACTGAAATTACTATGGCTGCTTCTCAGGGGAGCAGTGGATTCAGAGTCCCGATCTGAGCCCATCACAGAAATCAGGAAATTCTCTAATGCTCAAGAGGGAGCACTTTTGTTACAAAGCACTAAATAATTTGAGAGAGATGATTCCTGCATTCTTAGAAATGGAACTGTCTGTCATCCTCTGTTCTGCTTCTGTGTGACAGTTGCTGGTGAAAGCTGTGTGATGTGCACTTGCCTTCCAGTCTTATGAGCTTTTAGATAGCTTAATTATTTAAGGTATTTTCCTTCTCAAGGAAGGAGAGCAGATGAAAAAAAAAAAAAAATGAGCTGATATAAAGAATTAGGTCAAGTCTCTTCCTGTAGCAGCCAAATGAGCAAGAGTGACTGAAAAATAAAAGTAAATACTTTCTGTTGATGGTAACTTCTGCCAATAAGTAATTTCTAGTCAAATGCCATGTCTTGGAATCCATCTGCAGAATACTTTTATGGACTAGTTTATAATGATACCATGGTCASAAACTGGATTGTGATTACTCCCATCTGTCTTCTAAGGAAATATCACTGTTTTTTAGGAAATGCTGAAGCAACTACTTCTGTGTGAACACAGCACACACATCTGCAATTTTATTCATTAAAAAACAAGTGAAATGCAAGACAGCTCACCAAGGCAGGCTCGTTTGGAGGACAGGAAAGGAGCAAGTGGAATCAGTTTTCTTGTCCTATAGGATGTTAGTCTGAGATGATCAAAGAGTTAAATTCTGCAGTAGGATTAACTTAGAGAAGTTGTTGAATGCTTGACAAATCACAGGAGTGTCTGGACCAGTCATTTCAGTGTCCGTTACATCTGTGAGACAGGGAAAAAAAACTTTTATGCTTTTTCCTACTCCRGAAGTATGCTTTGAAGAGAAAATCACTACTGTAAGCATTTCTTCCCTTTCATAAACAAAACTAAAGGCAAATGAAATATTCTTATTGCTGCTGTTGTTCCTAGTGTTTAAGGTTTCCTCTCTTGGTAAACCGTGTGTTCATAGCGTCAGTATGTTGTGCCGCAATGGCTCTGTGACTCTGCCATTCTCTTTTTTTCTTTTTATCTTTTTTTTTTTCTTTCTTCTATTTTTCCTTCTTTATTTTTTGATCATGTTGAAATGCTCCAGCTTTGGGGAGCAGTTTAGCTGCCAGGTATCTTAAAGGAACTTGAGCTGCCACTGCCAGGATCYATCTCTATTAAGAATTTTGATTGATAGGGCTTGGGTCCTTTGCATGAATTCCTCCATGTTAGAAGGAATTTGGCTTCTGTTTTGTGTTTCAGCATTTGGGTAGGGTGGAGAAACACACACATGTATGTTTAATTCTGGAAGTCTTTTGTGCAGATATCTGAGATCAGATTTGATTGTTCTGTCATAAGAGAAAAACCTATTTTTCTTTGTTTTGCTTTTACACTGTTGTTAAAACTGGGTCTGGTCGATATGAATTGATACATTACTGTCTAACTGTGCAAATGTTCATACCCACAGTGAACTCTTGAGTGGTTTAACTCTGTTTTRCTTGCTTTGATTCTGTCTTGCAGAGTTCCAAAGTGCTTGCAAAGAAGGAGCTCTCCTACATGCCCATCATTGGCTGGATGTGGTATTTCCTAGAAATAGTCTTCTGCAAGCGCAAGTGGGAGGAAGATCGGAAAACAGTCGTGCAGAAGTTGCTGAATCTCCGAGACTACCCTGAAAACTTTTGGGTGAGTGATGACTAACAAGAGGAGTTGAGGTGCTGTGGTGCTTGGCAGGAATGCAGGGGATAGACAGTATGTGATGCTTTCCAGGTTGTTCCTGCAACTTTTGATTCATTAACTTCCTTGGGAGTACCAGGAGAACACTCTAAATTGAATTCTCTTTGGAATTTCCCATGTACTGTGTTGTCTGTTCTGTTCTCTGTAGTGTGGAGCCCTACAGATATTACTGCAAAAATGCCTGCACTGTGATCCACAGTAGATTTTGTGATTCCTAGATAAAGGATCTGGATAGGGGTTCATGGGGTGTAACACATACATATGACAATGTTGTACTGAAGCACATCAGTTGTATTCTGTTCCTAAGCTCCCCTCTCACCYTAGATTGCAGAGTTCATACTAGTGTTTTCTCCTTCCCTGTGATTCTGCCATTCCTGTGAAGGTCCAGTGGGGAAGTAGAAGCTTCATGGTCAGAGAAGTGGCCCATTGGAGCCGCTGGCTGTGTTCCAGGAAAGGATTGCTGTCACCTTTCAGTAACAAGAAAGTCTTTCTTTTTGCATCACCATGATTTTTAACTATTGACSTGCCTGGCATTTCCTTGTCTGAGAATGAAAAGCCTTTGAATTTTTTCTCTTCTCGGGAATCATGACAATTGTAGTTCACCTGAGCTAGTGATGGCAAGGGTGTGATTTGTTTAAAGAAACAGTATCTTAGGCCTCTCCAGGGCCTACAGAAACTATTGCTGTTTCCTCCTGAAGATGTATAGGCTGTGTTTCTCATGCTCTGAAACAAACTTTTTTTTTTAAATTGTCATTGATTTAAGTGAGTGCTAAGCAATCAAAACTAATCTCTGTGCTTTGATGTTTAAGGKACTTTCCAGGCAGGAGGCTGTCTAGCAAAGGGGTGATTCTGGGGTTTGGTTTCAGTTTCTGTCCCAGAGATTTGCCTGTGCTCTGTGGCTTTTCTATGTGTGGCTTTTCTATGCACGTAGGCCGTTCAGCTCTCATCAGTGAGCACAAGCCACCATGGTCCTGTAGATACCCCTGTRGAGGGATTGCTAAACAGGAGCTACATCTATGTGAGGGAGATAGTTGATGTACACCTGGGGTTATTGCAGTGTGGAGTTTTGATTTGCTTTCGTGTGATGACCTAATGACAAAAGGCACAACAGTAGCACCTTGGAAGGTAGGCAGGCAAAGCATGCTAAATAAACTAGAGATGTTTTCTTACTAGTTTCTCTTGTGTCTCACTAATCTGAATAACATAAGGCTTGCAGTACATGAGTAAAAGCACTCTTGTATGAGCTAGAACTGAAGCTGGCTGCTTGGCTAGTTTCTTCAGTCTGTCTTTTTTGGCTATCTTATTGCTGTGGGTTATGAGGACAGTTTGTGTGATTTGGCACTGCTCTCTGATGTGTTAGTTTGCATTCATGCTTGGCAGAAAGCAGATGAGCAAGTGGTAWATCTCCAGAGATCTATGTGCTCTCCCTTGCCTGCCAGTGGCAAGATTGTAATTATTCATGTCAGAGCACTTCCACTGTATAGTTCATAAGAGCATGAGGCTTTCAGTTGTCCTGCATCTGCTGCCTTACGTTTGTTATTAGCTCTCTCTTTGGCATCAAAGTTACTGGCTGAAGTTCTCCATGGTCCTCGTGCCGTAAGGAAAGCAAGCAGGTTGGAGTGAGGGCAGTCAAGCTGGGCACTGAAGCATTTCTTAGAAATATGGTTGATTTAGACATTTGGCAAGTTTTAGATGCCATGATACTTGAACACTTCACCATCAGAGAGAGACTTGTAACAGGAGTATGTTTTGAATGTTTTCTGACAGCTCATTAGAGGTGGAGTGACTCATTTAGAGAAATCAAGTCATTCTGATGGCAAGTTGCAGAGCAGATGTTAAAGCCTAAAGGCTGAAGTTCAAAACGGAGAATGGCAAGTTGGATGAGTGTTTGGATTTGGGTTTTTAGGGGTTTTTTTTGGGTTGGTTGGGATTTTTTACTTCAGTCAAATCAATTACCTAAATGTGTATGTGGCTACATCTGTCCCTGCTAGCAGTGCTAATTTGGGCTGTGCTGATGGGAATTAGAGAAACCTCAGTCAGCGGAAGACCTGAGCTTCTGTCTAACTGTAGTTTTCTCTTGRTTTTAGTTCCTGATTCACTGTGAGGGCACAAGGTTCACAGAGCAGAAGCACCAGATTAGCATGAAGGTGGCCGAAGCCAAAGGTCTGCCCAAGCTCAAGTACCACCTCCTGCCACGAACGAAAGGATTTGCTGTCACCGTGCAATGTTTGAGAAATGTAGGTAAGGAAAGTCACMGGGGACAATGCTAAATGCTTATTTCTTCTAATTGCTGCCAGTTTGCCATGCTTTTCTTTCCCCTGTAGCATGTGTCCTAGCAGAAAAATCCTGAGATCCTTTCAGACCATTTTTTCACTAGCCTCTGGTTTTATTAGCAAAATTGTGGATCAGCTTGTAAGGTTGCTTTTTTTGGTTGGGTTTTTTTTTTTGTTTTGGTTTTATGACGGGTGGGTTTCAGTTGGGTTTTTTGGGTTTTAATTTATTATTGTTGTTTTGTTTTRTAAACTCTGAGTTTGTGTTGGGGAATTGCAGTTGCATATTTTGTACTTGTTGTGAAAGGATAGTTGTATTCTATTCTTAATTAGGTGAATGCATCAGTAAAGAATCTGAGGCAGTGTCTTAAAATACTTGCTTGTGGTAAATATCTACCTCAAATAACGTCAAATAAATCAAAAAATACTCTGCTTTAAATTCCTGTATAGATTTGCTTTTAGATTTTTTTAATGGAGCTGAGGAAGGGGAGTAGACTTTGAATGAAGATACATGTAGGTGAAATTTATAAACTAATTATTTCTACATTAGAGAACACGAGTAAGCTTTTCTTTATTAAATTGTTCTGAGCTCCCCATTTATTTCTGATTACTGGCATTTGCCAGCTTTAAAGTGACATCAGTAAGAATATTGCCATGTTGCCTTTGAAGTGATATTCTTTGACTAATGCTATCTATCAAAGTCCACTTCTGTGTACTTCTCAGGCAAGGGAAAGACAGCTCTAAGTAGCCATAGTTTTAAAATGTCTTTGGGGTCTGGTAGATTTGGGTGTTAGACAGCTGATATGTAAGAAAGACAAAAGTGGTTTCTGGTTTAGAAGAAAATGTTCTAGCTTGACTGAAGTTAATGTCAAAACCTCTTTTGTCTTTGAAGACATGTTTTCATGTGGCATATCTGGGATAGCTGCTGTARGAAAAGCGTCCCAGTCAGCTGTCTTGCTGTCTCTCATATTTCTTCTACATATCCTCTGGCATGCCAGGTAGATCATACCACTGTTGTAGCTTCCCAGGCAGCCACAAGTTTCCACCCCCAAGGTGGATAGCATAGCTTGRATCCTTTCTGATACATGAACAAGAGTTGTAAGTTACGTGAAGCATCCAGCAACCCTCTTGAGAGCACAGTTTAGCCTTGCCTTTTGAATTAGGGTGASTGTTCTGCTGAGGGCAGGGGAGTAGTGGGCTTGAGGCACTTAAGAAGGGATGAGTCAAAATTCTRTGGCCTCTAATGCCCTGAGCTGGGAATCAGGAACAGGTTATTTTGGTAGCGATTTTGTTCTTTTCACTGCTCCGTGTAATACAAGCAAAATGCAGCGTGATTGTGGACAAGTATCTGATTTGTGGGAAAATGTTTCAGAAAGAAACAATTTTAGAGAACCCGAGTGACATTTATAATATGTTTTGGACATTCATGCAGCACACTATTGTAACACTTAGTAGTACCCTAAATATTTGAAATACCTTCAGAAAAAAAAGACTGARGTGGTTAGATTATTTATTTATTTAGGGGAGTATGTGCCACTACCTCAGTGCAGCAGCTGTGACTTGCTAGACAGAGCAGTGTAAAGCCAGGARGAAGGTAGTATTTCCCTGGGAGGGTTCAAGGAGAAGCAGAGTCATAACTTCTCCTATACAATTTCAGCAAAAGCTGTCGAGCTTAAAAACCCAACCAACAAACCTCTGCGGATTTGATGACCGCAGATCAGTGTTGCAGGTTCTTCTGGGTTTGTTGCTTTGTTTGCCTTGTTACTTTTTGCAGTGAGAGGGAGATTTAAGGGTTACTGCCTGGGTTACTATATGTTTCTCTCCTCTAGAGACAATGGGTACATGTGAAGAGCATCTGAAAAGCCTTTGTAAACACAGTCTTGTTTTTTAGAATTCCTTGTAACGTTATTATATACAGATAACAGGGAAGTCCATGGATGTTTTTTTAATAGAGATGTGATGGGAGTCTCTTCTGACAGTCCATGATCTRGAAATGTAAGTTCTCTCTAGAAATTAGGTCATATCCCTGTGCATCTCTAAAAGAGAGACTGGTGCTGAACTGCCTGAGCCATCTCAGCTAATGCACCTTCTGTGRTCCCACAAGGGTGATGGGCCTGCCTGGAGTTCCTTGCTAAGGGATGTAGCTGCAGTGTGACACAGGAGTCACTGTTTGGGGCCAGTTCACAGCTGGGTGTGACGGAGCTTCTGTCCCCATTTTTTTCCTCCTTTCTGACAAGGATGACAAGGATGYGAATTGACTTGTCAGAGGCTGTAGTGCTGTAGGATGGGTAGAAGCTGGTTCCTCTGGCTGTCCATGTAATTCATCCATGGCAGCAATGATCACAGGTTGGTTTTCTTCAAAACTTTGTATAAGTTCATAATGCTACCTCCTGCAGTCACTCTGGAAGGAGTTCTGAAGTAGTTCTGCAGTWACTGGAAATAGATGGTGACATCAGACTAGCAAGCCCATCTGTTTTGAAAAAGTTTCAGAAGGAGTTTATTCAGTGTGCATACATTGGAAGCTGCCCCCATACCAGTGATGCCGTATCTGTCAGCATAAGCAGATGTATTGGGATAAAAATACCTTCCATGTAAAATAAGGAGTAAAGAACCTTCCCTATTTTTCGTAATGGAATTCTTTTTTCCTCCAAGACTTACTTTCACTAATTCAGATCTCCATACATAATTTGATTCTAAAAGAAGTGCTTTTACTATTTCTTGAACTTGTTCTGATGTTTTTTCAGTGACCGTCCCTACCAGTATGGTTTTACACACACAGTCCCCAAGAGCTTAGTTTGTAGAAGCTGTTCACTTGAATAAATTGCTTTTTGCTGCCTGTACTTTTCATGGAAGTAAATGAAAATACAAATCTGTTTCTAAAACACTCATCCATTACTTACAGTAAAAATGAATGCCATAAATACTGTGAAAGATATATTTAACTGTTACTTTTATTGCCTGGTCGTATATCAGGCAGTTCCTTTCAGCTGTTTTTATTTAGTTAAGACTTAATCTTGAAAATGTACTTCATGATGGATTGTAGATAAGCCCAAGTTTTGTTTTGCACCTTTTCCTCCAGTTGGGCATGCTGGGAACTGCTGTCCTAGAGACAACACATGAGAATAAATTCCAGGGTGATAKTCTCAAAGAGTTCAGTATGACGGTGTTTGGGGGTATTGCAATGTTGTCTTTTTCCTGTGAACTGCACTTTAGTCCTGGATTATTACAYTTTTTCAAGTGGGTTTCTAGTCATCATCCAGAGCAAGTTACCAAGTTTGAGAGGATGAGTGATTTTTGTTCAAGCTGGCCAGATTAATGAAATGTTACATCAAAGGACTGTGTCAAGGTGGCATCATATCAGCAGTACAGTTAATTTCGCAGTACCTCTCCCCTCCCTTTTCCTGTGTTCAGATTGTTTTGTGCTGGAACGAAGGTGCATGTAGCCATACTCATTGCCTATRGGTTGATTTGTAAGTGATTCACTCTGGCATAATCCACCATGGACACAAAATAATGCGTGAAATTCAAGAGGACAATCAAAGTAAGAAAAATTCTCTCTAGATATGTAATCCAAAGATAGTTTTAGGCTGAAGTTAATATGTTAAATTCTTAAGTACTTAGCKCTCTCTTAGAATGTTATAGGTGGAACCAAAAGTTAACAATATGAAAAAAACCTGGGCAGAGATTAGAAAAAACAAAAAAAAAACCTAATTTTTTTTACATAAGTAAAAGGCTTTCAAATATTTGTGTTTGGTTTTCAATGCAAAAGAGGTTTTAAAATATAAGTCCTTTTAAAAAATACTTCGCAACTGAAACAAAACCTCTCAAATGCTGCCTCTRTTATGAGAGTGAGACATTTGTGATGTTTTCAAGATGCTATGGAGTTACGTTTTTACTTGTTTTAGAGTGTGAATTTTCTGGTCTCTTCAGCTTTTGGATGMGAAAGTCATGAAATGTCCAATTCTAATTATGCAATTACAAAATCCATGTTTAATGATAACCACTTACAGTGTGTCACACAGCCTGCTAGTACTGCTTTGACTGTGGAAGTTTTCTGGTAAATTTTAATTTCACGCAGTCTTTTTCTTGGACATTTTTATTATTGTTCTTTTCCCACACTCTCAGAATGAGAAAGCTAAAACTTTTAGTTATTTTCAGTTATATCTGGATAACAGAGGTCTGTTTACTCCTGCACATTGCTTTCATTGTCCTGGGTTTGGCACTGCTTTGTACCAAAAGATTTGAGTGTGTTATTGAAAGGGACTGCACTGAGTATCAAAGTGCAGACCAGTGGGAAACAGGAATAGCATTTTTTTCCTCTGGAGAAAAGGAAAACTCTGTGTAAGACTATCAGCACATAAAGATGTTCCTGTCCATCTCCACAGAASTTTTTCTCAGGAGAACTGTCTTCCAGTGTGTCTCAACAAAAACCCAAATCATATAAAAACTCAAATATAGATGCCTTGTTAGAGATGGAAGAAAAAGTGTTGTGTATATCAAACTTTGCTTTATTGTATCCCTATTGTTATAAGAATAATCTTGTGCTATTAAAGAATAAACTAAGAAGCTTACACTGTATAAACCAAACTGAGCTCTTGTTTGCCTTCAATTACATTGGATTAGTAAATTAGAGTAGATTAGTAAAATCCTTCTACACTAAGAAGCTTAAAAATGGAAGCAGATGATTTATTTTTTTAAAAAAAAAAGTAATTTCATACTTTTATCATACTTTCATGGAGAGTAGTAGTTTGAAGTAGATTTTGGYTTGCGTTTAGTTTTGAGTTTGGGCTAAGAACCCAGCTGTAGTAGGAAAAGAATGGAGTTGTTAGTGAGGGACAGGGTCTTTTTGCAGTGACAAGGGTTTGGCCTGTTTTCAGGATTTCCTTTCATCACTGAAGCCAGGCTGTTCTGTTCTGCCTTACGAATTCTGTTTTTCAGTAACAAATGATGTGGTGAGTTTCTGGGAGCTGAATGCTGARACCAAACCATATTTATCTCTCATAGCTGGAGAGGTTTCAAAATCAAGAGCAAGTCTTGTCTTGTGTAATAGAAGTCTTTCTTAGGTGGGTGAAGAGCCCTCACAATAAAGGTTCATCACATGCATTTTTATTCATTATTGCAAAAATCGAGAGTAGAAAAGCTAAACTAGAACAGGCTACATATGAACAGTGCTTACATATGAAAGTCATTTCTGTGAGAAGAAAAATAAGAGGGTTTTTTATGTCATTGATATTAGAGTTCATACCATGATGCACAACTGATTTTTCAGTGTCAGAAAAATTAATTTTTCTCTGGTAATTTTGTGACATCAGGAAAATAGTATATCTAAGCATGTATTCAAGTAAACTTCTTTGCAACACTTCATGTGGTTTTAAACAGTGAAGCTTTTTCTGTAGAAACTGCTTGTTACAGTCTTGTAGTTTATCTGCCATCAGCCTTTGCAAGTRCTTTTATTGTTCTAGCTCAGTCCTGAACTGCACAGTTTTCTCTGTAGYGGAAGTTTGGCTGCAGGTTTGTTCAGCAGAACTTTTATGTTCTATTCCTCACATCTGCATGTCTCCAGATGTGATGGGTCATTCCCTCTCTGCCTTTGCCCTGTAGCAAGCAGGTGCCTGAGTTACCAAACAACAGACATGAGGCAGGGGCTGCTTTGGACCCTGGCAGTTGACAGCTGCATTAAGCCTTCCTGCTGTAGGATGTCTCACACACACACACACATTTTACCTGTTCTTAGTCAAAGGGTATATATTAATCATTGTTTATAAAATGTATCTGCCTGGTTGTTTCCTCACATTCAGTGGGCTAGTTGTATCATTCACAGTGAATTGAAAAAGGTAACAGTTCTRCAGTTTGGCTCTTAGAAGTCCTAGGTGTATTCTGTGAGAAGCTGTAACATCATTCTGCACCTGSTGAGGAAGGAGGCAAGGGGTGGATGGAGAGCAAACCTTTCCATTCCTCTGGTGCAGTTCCTGAAAGGGTCAGTGGTTATTTGGCTTCTTAAAACCTGTGTTTTGAATATTCCATTGTCATTTTTCCCTCGGTGATATCTCTGTGATGCTATTGGTGATAATTTACCTAAATATTSTTTGTCTGAGAGAGAATAACTTATTTCCATTGTATTACTACAGTAACACATARCCTGTTTCTCTTCTTGTAGTTTCTGCAGTCTATGATTCTACCCTTAATTTTAGAAACAATGAAAATCCAACATTGCTGGGAGTTCTAAATGGAAAGAAATATCATGCAGATTTATATGTAAGGCAAGTAATTCATATTTTAATTCCTTTTTAGCATACAGGAGCGTGTACTTGAAATCACAGTTGGTCAAATAAGGGAATATTTTCAAGTGGGTGACAGAAAGCAGATCTCTACCATCTGGCTTCACAGAACTTCAGATAAAAATTCATATGTGTGGGGAAGTGTTTCTGGTAAATTTGTGTGACTATAAGTATGTGAGGAGTTCATAAATGTCTGCAGGACTTTGTGTTATTTTTTTTTTTTCATTTGTGTGTCTGTTAGCTCAGCAGCACCAGTGGGGCCTCTTATCACTCACTTGGCCAGAACACCAAACACCATCCAGGTGTTCAGGTGGAATTGCTTTGCCTTTCCTGTGTCTGGCACAGGAGTTCAGAGATAGTTCCAGTTCCTGTGGTGGAGGTCAGGCTCAGGACTGTCCCCCCCTACATCTGGTGCTGTAGCTGTTGCTGCATTTGACTGCTGCACCCTCCCTACCTAATGTTTAATGAAAAACTAAAAATTACCTGGATTCCTTTTTATTAATGTTTCTATAAGTTATGAATACCCTAATGGCTTCCCATAATCTTAATGGGAAAGAGCCAATTCCCAGGGGACATTCTACCAGCAGCACCGATACTACAGGCACCCAGGGCATGTGATGATGTAGGGCTGGAGACAATAGCCTAGAAGTGATGCTTCAAGTGATCAGGAGTTCATCATAACCTATATCAGAGCAATAGTGGACCAGTGGGCTAATCCAGTTGGTTTATCCTGGATACCARCATGAAGTGGAATAGGGTGACCTTTTCCTTTTACCTCTCCTTTTTGGCCTGTTTGAAAAAGTATTTCCTTCAGAACTGKTTTTGTCCAAGGGTAAAATGAAACTTCCTCTTGATTCCTCTTCCCAGGGGGTAGCTCAGCCTGGTGTCCTGATGTTTGGTGTTCTCAGCCTGGTGGGATGGCGTTCATGGAGCCCTTCCTGTGTGGATCAGCTCCAGCAGGGCAGAGGRATTCCTCTTTCTGTGTTTCCCTGTACACCATTCAAGCCTGCTGCAAGTCAGTCTGGCACARTATGGAAATTGCTTTTCACAACTCAGGGTGGCTGTTTGCCTGTCCTGAAAAGCTCTTACAGGCAGGGTGAACCTTGTGGCTAAATTTGTTCTGGCAACTAGTTTGGGACTATCACAGATTCCTTCAAAATCCTCTATATTTGCTTTTTGAAGTGCTGTAAGTGTTGGACAAATTTAAAAAACAGTGAAAAATAGAGTGAGTCTCCTGTCAGATAATCTGTGTAGTGCAAGTGCTGTTCCTGGGAGCCAGAGTTTTTAATATTCTTAATTTTCTCATTTACCATTGTCAGGCGGATTCCACTGGAGGACGTCCCAGAAGATGAGCAGGAATGTTCTACCTGGCTCCACAAACTGTATCAAGAAAAGGTTGGTATTTTGGTCAATACAACCACTGGTGCTCACTTATTTATACTGCTAGTAGACCTTTGCAACGTGCATGTGTAGTGTCCGAATTTGGAGGCTTGGGGTGGGTTGGTTTGTTTGGTTTTCAGGGGAGGTGCTCTGTTTCTCTACATATAAACTGAGCTTGTGCTGATAGTCATGATTGCTTTCATTCTGAACACAGAGCAATAGGAAGAAAGCTTGAACAAGCCTTTCTAGAGCAGTTTTAAGCCTCTTCTTTAGARAGTTGCATAAGGATGCAAAGATCAAAACTGTCTTGCTGCCTTCTGATTGGTAGAAAGACCCCCTTCCCCTTGAAAGCATTTTCTAAATCAAGAAGGAATTTGTGGGCTAAATAAGATACTTTATTTAGTGTATTAGAATTTTTGTCCCTTGTTTTACCGTGCATTTTTACATCCAGCATTAAAAGGACAGGCTGATAAATTGCTTTCACACCACGTGTATAGAAGGCGTGCATTTAAGAGTTCCAGTTTCCTAGGATGGGGAGAGAGTAACAATGACTGTGTTTATACATGCTTAGTGGGTTTTTTCTTTTTTCTTTCCAATGCTTTCATATTAATCTTCCAGTCCTTCATAATCTGTTTCTTTTGGGCTGTTTTTATGAATATTGGAGAGAGTTGTTAGGGGATGTGCTTTTTGAATGCACACAGCGCTCCCATTTTCAATCAGTGGGAGTTACAGGTATGCACAGCATGAGGGCCTTGACAGCTCGCTTTGCTTCAATACATTGATCAAAGTTACGTATTTTCAGACTGGAAGGCAGCAGTGCTTTGGATTTAGTAGAATATAGCAATGCTCTGGATTCCTCTCACTGGGACAGCAAAATTTTGCTGTGCTGTTTGTCACGCTCTACCCAGGACACCACACTGGCATTTCTGTATCGACTCTGCCCCAGCCATTCTCAGTTTCAAACCATGACTGCTTCTGGTGTAATTCATAGCTCCTCTAAGCAGCTTCCTTACAGAAATGTGTAAAGCAACTGTGTCTTGAGACCTCACGTGTAGGTCTGCTCCCTTTGCCTCAGATCCCCTTACAATTTGTGCCAGTCACACTCGGTTCATGCATAGCTCCCATCACCTTTGCAGAAGGGCAGGATGTTACCCACGGGCCCTCCCCGCTTTGCAGGGATATACATGCAAATGGGCCTTTTGCTTATCATTGCAAAAGTCCACTTTCTGCTACTATGAAACTAGCCCTGTTTAATGTTCCTGAGAACTATTTAGACCTTGGCAAGACAAGAACATAAATGTATATGTGGTGATTGTTTTTCTGAATCTCTTATTACATAGTTGCATTAATTCACTTCAAGATTTTTCTGTTCCCTTTTTGGCAAACACTTATTTGCTTCTAGTGCAAACGTAGTGTACATCTATCTTTCATAATATTATATTATATTATACAATATATTATARTATTTTTCATGTCTGTTATTCATGGTGTCTTCATTTGCTTGTTTGTTAAATCTCTGATTTCCTATATAAGTATAGGAGTGAAGGAATGTGTGTCAGTTTTCCATTCCATTAAAACCTCATTTGGCTGTATGGAATTTTTTTAATTCATAAAGGCTGGGGATGGTTGTTTAATTGTTTTTTGATTTGGGGTTTTTTGGGTTTTTTTTGGTGATGGTTTCAGTTTTTGTTTGAAGGCAGCACGTTTTTCTTTCTCCAGCTGTTTTATATTGGTGAAACTTGTTTCATTGCAGTTATTCCTGGTTTACTGAAGCCCATATCTTTGTAAAATCAGACTGGCAGAATACAGATCAGGGACAACTTCTTCCAGAGTTCTGAGATTATGGAAGCTCACCTGCAGGGTAAAAAATACAATTTTGTTTCACCTTTCTGCCCTGCATCTTAAAAAGATAATCGGCTTTTAGGTCAGATAACAAGCAGCTGTGTCACCCAGGTGCTGTTTCCAAAAGTTAATTCTGTTTCAGATCATCTTCAGAGTCGGTAAATATTTATGATAAAATGTGAAAAGTCATTATTCAAAGGGCAATAATTCATTGCAAGATACTCATCCCCTGCTTTGTCTGTTTTGGTTACGACACTTTACTGGCTGTTTCAAATTAAGACGAGGTGTGCACACTACTGGAAAGCAGAGACCCTATTTTGTCATGCATTATGGTTCCCTGTACTGTTTCTTATTCTCAGTTTAATAATTTTGTAGTAGTTTCTCAAGACTCAGAGGGTGCTGAATTATGCTGTAATAGCATGTTTTAGTGGCTGGAGAGTGCCACAGGTACTGAGGTCAAGTCCTGTGCACTCAAGGTGATCAGGATCACAGGGCTGTTGGAATGAGTAATGAAAACAGCAGTTACTGGACTTGGAGGGACATGACTTTTTTTCTTCTTTGTTTTTTCTTTCTTTTTCCAATTTATTTATGATGTTAGTAAAGGAGTGAGGGTCTTTGAGAAAAGCTTATTCCGTTGCTATTCACCTATATGTACCTCAGTCTGAGATCGTTCTCTCTGGGAGCCTATTGTGTTTATGTTCCTGCTACTCATCACTTCATTTTTTGGTTTAGTCACTGCTGCTACTGCAGTTGAACAGAGACTTGCCAGATAAACAGTGACACTGTGCTGCTTCAAAACAAACAATGTTCTCCTTCCTTTTCCAGGCATACAGTAAGCACCATGTCCATGTGCTTCTTCCTCACCTCAGGRGTAGATTTTGTTCTTGCACATACAGCCAGCACTACATCAGTTGCTTCCAAATAATGACAAAGGTGCAATTTCATGCAAATTGCATTTTCTTTTTATTTCTTCTATTTTTTCAGACTGCCATTTCTAGAAAGGTTCCCTTTGACTTTAACTTGGATTGAGGATCTTACTGCCAAGTCTGAAGAGATGCTATGTAGTAGTCACAACTCTGCTAGTCTTCGCATGTTTGTTTTCATTTTTTTACCTCCTTACAGCGTCAGTAGTTTAAACAGAAGTTCAGCTTGAGAATCTTAATTTCCATTTAAAAGAAAGCAGCTTCTAACCTTTCATGCTTGTAAGAGAAGCTTGGAAAAGAGGGGCTGAAAATATATGCAGAAATGCCCTAGGGAATCAGCAAAGCATAACTGAAGAGGAGAAGTGTACAGAACCCCAGTGTTTGGGAACAAAGAATATATTTTTGGATACTCATTCTTTGTGGGCTACCTCATGAAGGGGCAGCAGCAGAGGCCTCCTGCTGGGAACAGGGAGGAAGAATCCTCCCTGTTAGCCTGTCACAAGGAGATGGATGTTCCCTGATTCCCCCCTCACTGCATTATCCCTCCCCCACACTGCCTCAAGTAACCTAAATTTGGTGGGGGCAACAGAGGGAGCATGTGTCCATGTCGGAATGTGATACCTGGGTGGATGGAATTTATTACAAACTGAAAAGCAGCTCTGTGTGCTGGGGAATGAAAGGAATCGAATGTGGGTGAGGTGATTTCGGGAAATGTTGAGGTGTGTTAAGTATTTAAAGCCTGACTTGTTGACAGGTATCACAGGCACCCTTGCAAAAGCTTACAAGACAGATAAACCCRCAGATGCCTTTGGCAAGTGAATGTATTTAAGGGTAAGGAATCGGAACTGAAGAGCTGTTCCCCACAACAGCATGAAATGTGTAGTCAAGATGTTRGCCTTGACATTGTTTTGCCTTTTGTATTTGTTTTCCATCTTCTGGAGCTTCTCAGTGAGGTGTGGTCTGTGGTTTTGCTTCCCCTCWCTGCTGTGCAGAGCCAGCAAAAAATCCCACTGCACTCATTTCAAGTGAGCCTGTCCTGCTCTCTGTAGTAACAGGCCCTCTATTGGCAAAGCCARTAAAAGTCGAGAATTCTTCACTTTCCTGGGTAATACCAGGATTGGGAAACCTAACTGTATATTGTAAATTCAGCTTACTAATGATGAGTAGCTCTGTCTTCAAAGCACTGTGAAGAAAACTTCATACAATGTGTTCTCTGTTGAAGATGGCTCAGTAATTGGCCAYAGTGATCACACTACAATCTAGCTCAGATGAGTAAAACACTCATAATTTGTCTAATCTCAATAAAGAGAGTGCATGCTTTAATTACTGTATAATTACTTAAAAGCTGAATGTTCCCTTTGAAACAGATTAAGTGGTAACAGCTTGTAATTGCTTAAGTTGCTATTTAGTAAGTAAAGAATTGTTTGTGTCAGCTGGAGCGTGAGTGTAAAATCACAGCATAGCAGAAAAATTAGTCTTTTGGTTGATTAATCTTGGCTTTGCTAGAATTTTTAGAAACCAAAAATCCTTACTTTAAAGTACTTCATTCTGACTAAATTAAGGTTTCTTTTTATGTCAAGTCTGATGCTGACTTCATTAATTAACCAGTTTTATGCAATAACACAGATTAATAATCTTTGCTTTTGAACAAGGAGGGAGTGGTTCTTTTCCCCCACCCACTTTTGGTATCTTGGGTTGTTGAGATCACTAAAGACAATGCTGTTCACCCATGTGGGCTATAGATGAAGGTACTAAATTTGAAGTCTTCTGTGCTTTTAAAAAACCCACCCCCACCCCATTGTCCTCCTTKTATTATACTTAAAGGGAGAGTTCTTGGCTCAAAAAACAGTGAGAGATTGTACAGGGTTTGCACACTCAATTGTTTGTGGAGGGGTTCAGCACCCAAACTTCCTTCCACAAGCRTCATGGGAAAAGGTGAACAAGGCTGCATCCGTGGGACACAGACAGGAGGGGGTGGTTTTCTTCAGAGTGTGGGTCAAGATGGTGTTTAGTTACCTTCTCTGACAATTTGTGAGTGCTGTTTGAGAGCAGTGGCTGGAGAAAACATGAGGGAACAGAGGCTGCTGCTGAGTATGTGGCCCACACACTTGCCTGGCTTACCTGTAGTCTCTGGGCAGTGGCCATGGTGCTGCAGGAAATTCAGCAGTGATGTCTGCATTGCTGCTCCCATTGTCCCTCCTGTTTTCCTGGGCTGTTATACTCTCCAGGTACGCCATTTCTCAGGATGCTGTGTGAAGGAGAAGGAAAGTATGGACACATCATTGTATGCTCTTTTTTTTTTTTGACTCTGTGTTCATTGACTTCAAAGTACAAGCTTTCCAGCCATCAGCTCATCTTTGATCTTCCCCTGTGGTTACAAGCATCCAGAAGGAGRAACATCAAAGCCGGGAATGGCTAGCTTTTTTGGCAGATGGGGATTTAATTGTTGCCCTCCTTTGTTCTACTAGGATGCATTCCAGGAGCAGTATTACCGAACAGGAACCTACCCAGCAGTCCCTATAATACCGCCCCGTCGGCCATGGACACTTTTGAACTGGCTTTTCTGGGCCTTATTGCTGCTATATCCTTTGTTCAAGCTGCTCATCAACATGATCAACAGTGGATCATCACTGACACTGGCTAGTTTTGCATTTGTCATTATAATAGGTAAGTTTTCTGATACGAAAAGATTGCTTACAGGGTAATTATCCAATAGGATTTGTAGAGACTTGCTAAATATAAAGATGACTTGTGAATTCAACAACCCATCTAATATTATGTTCATTCAAKCCTGGACCCGATTAAAAAGATTGTGGTTTATTCTTGTAGAGTTGTATTATTTTTTGTGAGAGCTGCATACAAAATTTTCTGTTTCTGTAGAATTCAAAACAGTGACTTCTCAGTGGCTTTGACTTACAAAAGGCTTTCTTTTCTTGTGTTGTGTGTTGCTGGGTTGTACTTTAAATGCTTAGAAGAGAAGCACAAGGAKAATTTATTCCTTTGAGAATGCATTTGTCTAATTGTAGTCTGATGTATCATGCACTGGCAATCCATGAACTCCTGATTTAAGCACAGCCTGTTGTGGCCATCTGCTCTGACTTAGGTAGCACARGGCATGGACTGTCACAGGCCATTCCTGCAGTTCTGCCTTTCCCAGTGTGAGTGGTCATTGGTGCCTGGTGGCTTAACGATGTAAAAGGAAGATTTTTCTGTTGACTGGAGGGATTTATYAGATGATAAAACCAGCTTTTCCCATTGCTCCTAGTAGACCTTTTCTCACTGTTTCTGACTGAAGCAGCACAGGGCAGTTTATTATTTCTTCGGTGGCATTTTAACAGCTTGCCTCATACTCCAGCTTSAGGAACTTTATGGCAATCCCTAACAGCCCATTGTAGTAGATTGCTGATTTTGGGTGGGTTTCAGAACCTTATACAAGTGCAGATAAACACAAAATAAATCTTCCATAACAGAAAAGAGMAGAGTAACTAGGAGGTCCTTCTTTCTGGTACCCTCTGCATTGTTTCTAGATTGTCATTTGTCTTTTGGATAAGTTCTGCTTATTGTGCTCTCCAGAAAAGTACTTGCTGGCTTGTAAGTAACTGCTGTTCAGGTGGAAAGAGCTGTAAGAAAAATGTTCCACTCGAGCTGGAGTGGAAGGCCTGTAAACCCTCAGATCCCAGCTCTGAGATCTAAGGAATGAATAACCAATGTAAGTACAGCTCTGCTTGGTTCAGCTCAGAYTCTTTCAGCCCCGAATAAAAACATCTCCTGTGTGCTGTGAATGCTGACCCCTTGTGCTTTGTGGTGCAGCAGTTCGGCTGTTTGYACTCCCAATAATCATCACACTGTGCTCATACCTTACTGCTGGTCKGGGACTGGGAGCCCTTTGTGATACTATTTGAACCAACACAAGGCAGTCCCTGCTCCAGAGGAGAAAAGCTGAAGTAGTTTGAGGGACAAAAGTGTTTTGAAAACCAGCTTTAGTTTCACAGGACACATGGCAAGAGATTTATATACACGGCTCACAGCAGCTCTTTAGAATTTGGTGCTGATGTTTTGGTGCTGAAGCAATGAGCACATCTGTTAAATGTCAGTATCTGTATTTGACAGCAGCAGTATTTGTTCTCCTCCTCCTACTTCCACAGTCTCAATTTGGCTTCAAAGAACCCAGTGTTGGGTTGCCCTTCATGTTTTGACAACTTGTGTTAAGGAGTACACCCTTTCTGCTGTAGAAGTAATTTATTATAAAGCTGTCAACAGCAGTTAAAAGGGGAATGTATGCAAAAGATGAGAGGGTTTCTCTGGGTTTTTAAAGGGWGCAGCAGCTCTTCCACATTTAGGGCTACAGATCTGTTCTAGGGAGGAGAGTGTTTCATCTCAGCCAAGTGCAAATAGTGATGAGCCAGCTCAGATTCCKTGGGAGCTGCTGTGGGCGTGGGATCACACTGCAGACCCGGGGACTTCCCAGTGTTCAAAAGCAGAGTGTGGATCAAAGGGCTGGAGCATGATGTGACCTGGGCAGCGAGGCTGGTGATGYCTGTAGGCTGAGACGAATGGAAGGTGAGGACAGGCCAGCAAGGCTGTACTAAGTTTTACAGCAGGATACAAACTATGTGCAGGATGGTGCCTGTGGTGATTCTGCCTTTTGGTGGGGCTACCAGATAGTCTGGCCTTTCAGCCTAGTGCCTAGAAACTGGGGGCTTTGGGGTGGRTTGTTTGCTTCCTTTGTGTGTGAGTTTGTTGCTTGTTTTTTCTCCTTCATAGTGTGTATGACAGGCCTTCAGTGGAAATGTCTACCATTCATATAATCTTTAGTTGTACAAATCTTAATTTCAATGCATAAGCTATATAAATCAGTGCAAACCATATATCTGAAATTCTTATGCCTCTGCTTGCTSTGCTGCTTACAGCACTTGCTGTGWRGTATAAAGGCAAGGTAACAGATGAGAAAAAATCCTGAGGTGTAAGAGAAAAGGTGGAAATTCTTTGCTCTGAGCTCAGGTTTTGCTGAGGGATGAGACACTGTGTGGACGTGGTTTTCTTGGAGCTAAAATGTGTTCCCAGAAAGAGATATTGGCTCTCCTGATTTGTGTCAGCTCAGCCCACCCTGAGCCCTCAGCACTCCCACAGGCAGAGCAGATCCTCAGCAACCTCCTGCATCTTTTGGATGCTGAGGTGGGCAGGAAGATGCAGGAGCACAGYTACCTCAGCTTGCCATGGAGCAGCACAGGGAGGCTTCAGCCTATAGCTTCTCTCACGCTCTTCTCAGGGCAGACTTAATAGCTGTGAGGGTTTAAGTTAGGCACTGCTTGTTAGTTACTGCTTGATCTCCCTTTCTTCCCTTTCTTGAAATAAAAACCCCTAAGTTCCTCTTACCACAGTTGCATGTAAAATAACAAGTGCATAAAGCSTTCAATATGCTGGTATCACTTGGGCATGCACCGAGGCACCAGGAGAGTTGTGGTGAGGAGGCAGCGCAGGGACAGAGAGTGAGACACCCCAGACTTGCCCACTTTGCTTCCACGGGCTTGGCACATGTGAGTAGTCCTCTTCTCCGTGCACCCCACCTTCCCCTGGTTGCAGACAGCTACAGGGTGAAATGGGGACAGAAGGCAGTGACAACTTCTGCCAGGGAGCAAAGGAATAAAAAAAAGTCTGTACTCCTGAACTAGTTGTTTTTTGTGTCCAGGCAGTGGCATTCTTGGAAGTGGATGAAATCCCCAATGTGGTGTGTGGTTGCTGTGACAGCTGCTCTTATTTATGCTGTGTCCCTCTCCAGCTGCTGTTTCTATCCTTGTGGTTAAAATCTTAATGATTTCATGCTTATTATTATGTTATGATCCCAGACTGCAGGCTACATGTTGGATCTTTCTCTTGTTTCCCAGCTCGTGTCCAGTTAAATGTCAGAGATGGTTTTCTGTCTTTCTTGCTTGTTTGTGAGAGTGAAGCCCTTCGCTTGTCTCAGTGTTCCTGTTCATGGACTGACAGTGAAGTGTAAATGACAGTGATTGTCCTCGGAGCCAGCTCCCTCTCTGGGCTGTTCACTGCACAGCTCTGCCTGTGAGAGGGCCCTGCTTTCCTGGSATCCACAAGACTCGAGGACAAGCCCTATGGGCAGACGAGCTTCCCAGTGTCCAGCCATCCTGTCACATCATGTGTGACTCACCCTGCTATCCAGTTACTGCTTGCTCTCTAAAAATTGTCAATTTACCGTCAGACTATAAACCACGCGTCGGTAGTGACGGGTCTTTGTGGCYGACGTTGTTTTGCCAAGCAGCAGCTGGTAAAGCACAGGGCAGCGCTGTTTGCCAGCTGGCAGCCCCTTCCCCTTCC